GATAAGCACTTGGAGTCTCGAACACAATTTAAATCATAAAAAACTTTGTGACATGGCCTTAGTAACTTGTTTTTTTAAAATATTTCAAAACCGTATTTTCAATTTGGACTCATACACAGTCCGAGGTTTAAAAACCAAAAGCTTTGATACCAAATAAATATAACCCCCTAGACCCAGCCTATGCGTTTCGACTAAGTCTAGCGGATCACATCCATGATTTTTAAAGACATTTTTCGAAACCCTTATTCGATCAATGTAAAATCACATTATAAATACATTTATAAAAGGATATAATAAATTACGATAAAACCTAACTCATGAATATAAAACTAAATAGTTAAAAATTTAATTTTTAAAACATGTCGTAGAATTTGGATCACTATAAACCAATTATCAATAGCGGAATAATATTCATTTCTGAAACAAATACTTCAAATAAAGGCCCATGCTACCAAAATAAAGTCAACTTGAAATATAAAAGCATTACAAATAGATGTACTTCAAGATATATGTTGATTCTCCAAGTGCTCGATCTGGGGTATCAACCAACAGTATCTGAAAGGGAAAAAACATTTTCGAAAAGTGAGCTAGGCTCAGTGTGTCCCAATAGTACAATAAAATCATAGTAGGTACAATAACCGAGTAATAGTTCAGTAAATCATCATAAAATCATAATGAAGTTTAACTTTTGAAACTCGTAGTTTAAATCCCTTCTCCTGTACACCAACCGCAGTTCCCCAGAACTGCGTCCGTAGGGCTACCTTAAGCACACAGCAAAAAGGAAGCCTACCTAAGGATAAGCTTTTGGGCCTGTATCCTTAGGTCCGTAGGGCTTACTCTAAACACACAGCAAAGAGGGCCAACCTAATAGAGCATCTTGGGGCTCGTGAGCCTACCCAGGAGTCCATTAAGTCCGTAAGGTTTACCAGCTTGATCGGAGCTATACCTCTGTAATTCAATCCAACCCAAAATCAGTATTTCAAAAATACTATTTATGCAGTAAGCATAATTTCCATAAATCAGTAAACATCATTATCATATATTAATGAAAACCAATAGTCATATATCAGTCATTGTCCATAAACCATCAATAAACAATAAATCATAGCTTTCAATGTACTATATTTCAAAACAGATAAAACAATTAAATAGTACTTAGGGAACATACCTCGATAATAGGATCAAACTGTAGATCTACTGAGTACTGGCCTCGTCACGCTCTGCTACAGTTTTCGAACCTAATTCATAATAACACTACATTACTAGAGGGTAACATAATCAATTTCTGAAATTATAAGATTTACGGGTCATACGGGTAAATATTGGCACACACGGTTTAACTGATCTAGAGGAGATGGGTCGAGTTGTCGGGCGATCAGGATAGTCTCTTGTACCTTCAAATAATAATCATTTATCAGTCTCAAGTCTTACTTAATCATTCAAAGCAAAAACTCTTAAGTACATATGCACTTTTTCGGGTTTGACTATCAATTTGGAGACTTTAGCATCTTAATTTGACTAAACAGATTACAGAATCGAAATTAGGACGTCGAAAAACATAAAGTATGACTTTTCAAAAATTCAAATTTTTGGTCAAAGTCAAAGTCAACAGGTTTGACTGATGATTTGGAGACCTTCGGTTTTGAATTTGGCAAAACGGACTTCGAAAACGGATTCGGCACGTCGAAAAATGTCAGAATAGGTATGCTCGAACAAAATCAAATGTCATTTAATGACCATTTAAAACCGGTCAAAGTTATGGTCAAAGGGGTTCAATAGTCCACAGTAAAAAATTACAGAAATATCATATTTTTAAACAATTACCAAATTATCACTGTTTTAACAATAATTGCCAAAATATCATCGTTTTAAAATTAATTACGAAAATAACACCCTTTTTTAAAAATAAATACAAAAATAACACACTTTTAAAAATAATTACGAAAATAACACCATAACCGAAATTAATTACATATTTATCAACAATCTAAACCAACACCAACTATAATATGTTTTCAATCTAAACACTGAAATATTATCCAAATTAAACGATCTGAATTTACCTACGGCGGATGAACGAAACAAGATAGTTGTTGGAATGGCCAGAATCGACAAAACTTAAAACGACGATCAGGGTTTTAAGTGTCGATTTCCCTTCTCGATTCAGTCTATCTGTGATAGATTTAGGAACTAGGTTAGTCGGGGTTGTACCGATGGTTGCTACTGAGACTAAAGGACACGACGGTGCACCACACCACCGATCGAAGGAGGCAGGTCGAATGTTCAAGAGTGAGTTTACTGAAAAATTCAGTTTTGGGTTCTACACGGGAGGGTATTTTTGCAGAATTTATGTGTTAACTCCTAATATAATATAAACCCACCATTATTTGTTTCCAATAAAAAAAACTAAACATGGCATAGTGGGTATGCCTTTGTCTCCACTTCATTTTATTTTATTTTTAGTGCTATTATAATATTTATAGTGCTTATTATTTTATTTATAGTGCTTATTATTTTATCTATAGTGCTATTAGATATATATATTTTTTTCTAGTGGAAAATTATGGGGCAGAGTGTGACATGTAATCAGATGGTAAATAATGCAAATTTTGCAACAGATTTTAACAAAATTTAAAACAAAAAACTAACAATTATTTTGTAAAAAGCAGCAGCATTTAGAAAAAAATCAGAAATCGAATAATAAAACTAACCCTAAATCATATGAATTCAACAATATCGGGAAAAATCATATTTAACAACGAGGAAAATAAATTTAAAAGAAAAAAACAATTACCTGCAAATTAAAGTTGGAGAAACCTTTGTACTACTCCGGTCTGAATCAAAACAAAAAATAATTATAAAAATAATAAAACTATAAAGCAAAATTATCTCAATATAGAATATAGAAAAGAATTTTCTTATTTCACTACTTGTTTATGATAGTATTCTTAACCCTAAAGTAAGTCAAATACATATATGATTTTATAAAATGAATAAGGAAAACAATAATGATTCATTATGAATGAGAAAAAATCTTGCTATACATAAGGAATATTCAATTTTATGATAGGGAACATAAATATTATTTGGAGGGAAGTTGAAAAATTACCTCCAATATATCTAAACATAATTATTAAAAATTATAAAAATATAAAAAATTTAGATAAATTAAAAATAATTTAAAATAGTAAAAAGATTTCTCTTTCGAAATATTAAAAGTATAAAATAATTGAAGTAAATACTATTTTTCACTATTTCATAATAAATAATTAATCCGATGTAAAGTTTGATTCAATTAAAAATGTGTTTGGAGGAACAATAATAATCCTAAAAAAATTTAAAACGAATACATGTGTATGAGAATTATAAATAATTGTATGATTTTTATTGTATCTTATATGAAGTATAAGATTATTAAAACCTTAAATTGATTGTACTATAAATAACCGTATTAATTATATTTATTTTTTATTATATTATTTTTATAATTTAATTTTTTATGACACTTGTTTTACAATATTAGTTTTTTTTTATATAAAAGAGTAATATTTTATATTTTAAAATTATTGATGTTATATGTATCTAAATATACTAAAACTTTATGGGTATTTCTATGATCAAGTATAAATATATATTTTTTCCTAAACACTTTGATTTAACATCATGAAAATCATAGAAGTATAATAATATATAAAAATTCATCTGCTCATTTCTTTTTAACAGTTTATTATTTTATGTTTTACTCTAAAAAAATTTGCAATTGAGATAATCTAATATAGAATAAGGTCAATAAAATAAAAATACAAAAAATATATAAATTGCATAATTTAATAAGGTTGTAAAATTATATTATTTTTTAACATTAACTGACATAATTTCACGACGTCTTTTAAAATCATCATATAAAAAGAGAGATAAAAACAAGTGACAAATAATTGATTTCATCGTGCTAAAACTAATTTTTGTGACAATAATAAAATGTCACTTTTAGTGTCTTATAAAATATGACAAATTAAATTGTCACGAATAAAACTTATTAGTGACAAATGTGCAACGCCACTATTTCAATATAATAAATCGTCACTAATATCTGTTTTTCATTGGAGACGATTTTACAACGTCATTATTTTATCTAAATGTCATTAAAAGGTTTCCCACCAAAAAATTTTGTGGAAAGATTTTGGTGTCAAACATATAGTGACAAAAATCAATGACTATTTTTAAAATTGTCATAAAAGATATACCATTAATTAATAAATATGACGAAAATAAAAAAATGTCACATTATAGTATGTTTTGTGATGATATAAGTAACGTCATATAGAAATTTTGTCATAAATTGACAAATTTGTTATAGTGATAGGAGTCTGGACTAGGGCTAACAGAGAAAGGGATAGGTTTATATAACAAGTGACCATCAAATATAGTTATTTCTTAACATAGATTGTTCAGGTTTACTATTTTTGGCAACGTCTTAAAAAAGAACCTTGAGATTTTGTTTAGAGTTTGGCGATATGCATGCACCTCTATTCAAAACCCAATTTTGTGTCTTAAACTCATCAACTGTCTTCACCCTTTTCTCGGCAGATGCCACATTCAAATAGACTATTTGAATAACATAATGATATATTTTGTCACTATTATTTAGAAAAAGGTTATATTTTGGTCACTGAAATATAGACCGCTAAATAAAGGAGCATATAAACAAAAATATCCCACCAGTGTAAAAATCTATATAAACAAAATCTATTATATAAACAGAATCTCACTGATTTGAATTTTAACTAACAAAATGAAAGAGTAGAAGAAATAAATATGAGAAATATATATATAAACAAAACATATTATTAAGTAGTAATATGTAAAACCTAACACTTGTGAAAATAACATTAAATAGTAAAAAAATGATTTTTTCTAATAAACTAGTCTATTCCCACTGAATAGTTTCCACAATACAAGATGTTTTCCCTTTATTAAGCTACAGCCAACAAACGCAGATTAGTGCATTTTTTTCATCATCAATGGCGGCTACTCCCCATCCCTCTCACTCCCCATCTCTTCCCCGAACCCTAAACCACCCATTAACCCCAAACCCATTTTCCAAACTCTCCGTTTTGCCCCTCAAAACTTCCAAAAATCTCTTCAAGCACCCTTCCTTCTCCCTCAAAGCTATTCTCTCTGAAAACCCTGCTAAAACCCTCAACACCACTTTTCAACATTGTTTCGCCAAATCCCCAGATGGGTTTCTCTGCTGTGAGGATACCAAGGTCCAGGACGTCATGGAAAAGGTAGAAAAGAGACCGTTTTATTTGTACAGTAAGCCTCAAATTACTAGGAATGTGGAAGCTTATAAGGAGGCTCTGGAAGGGTTGAAGAATTCCATTATTGGATACGCGATTAAGGCGAACAATAATTACAAGATTTTGCAGCATTTGAGGAAGTTGGGTTGCGGTGCTGTGCTTGTTAGTGGCAATGAACTCAAGTTGGCTCTTGGTGCCGGCTTCGATCCAACTAAGTAAATTCCTTATACTGAACAATGCTTACTTTTGTTTTTCATTTTGTTCTTGTTCGTATTTTCGTCAGCTTCCCTTTTTTTACTCCGCCTTTAGATTAAAAAATTTTAATTTTGTGAATAAATTCATTATTTTGCTTTCTATAGTGTGCAATTATGATTGATTGCCCGCTGCATTTTTATCACTTGTTTATTTTTAATTTTTTATAATTATTTTGATTAATTTTGCATTTGACTAATGCATCATTTTTGTGAAAAAAGAAGAAGGTAATAAAAAGCTAGTTGTAAAAGCAGCAGTCAAATTTCAAAGAAAGCTTTTGGTATTCAATTTTTTGAGTGATTAGCTAGGTTGTATTCTTAAGCTTGTCATGTTGTTTAGAGTAAGTGCTGCAATCTCAGAAGGAGTGCCTTTTCACTACATTAAGTAACCGCTTAACGTGGATAACCACTTTTGCTCGTCAATTACATATAATATTATACTAGGGCTTTTGAAGTTGATTATTTGAACTAGGGCTGAAAATCGGACGAGTCGTGCGAGTATTGTTGAGTTCAACTCGACTTGAAAGTTCGTGAACTTAAAATTATCAAGTTCGACTCGAATTCAAAATCAAAAACTAAAGCTCAACTCAAGTTCAAAAAATTTGAACTCGAAAAATTGTCACACTTAGCTGGATTGCAGCTCGAATTCAAGCTCAAATCTTAACCTTAAGTACATAAAAACCTTACACTGCAATTTTTTTTAAAAAACAACATATAATATTAATACTATTAATAATTTAATTTAAAAAATTAAAATTTTTCGACAATAAGGCATCATTGTAAGATCTTCCATCCCTAACACTCCTGTTAAAAACAACTTTCTGTATTGACCCTGATGTATCAGCAGAGATCATATTTGAAGTCATCGCCAACGAACTATTTGCCCTACTGACCTGGCCCGAGCTTCCTTAAACCTTGCAGCACCAACTTTGATTCTCCAGCCATCAACCAGAGAGCCATTCAGATTATAAATAGCTCTACTAAGACTTTCCTCATTATCAAAATGAACAAAAGCAAAAGTGAAAAATTTGTATTTCAGATTCCTAGTTTCTCTAGGAATGAACACTCTAACAACTGGACCCTGCTTTGAGAACAACTCCCTTAACTCTCGACGAGACACTTTTTTACTTAGATTATCAACGAACGCCGACCATACTTTCTCGGAAGAAACCTTGCCTTTCAAATCTTCTCTCTCTACGTCTCTAACTCTCTCACTCATTTTACACGACTATGGGAAGGGTTGAAATTTTTTTGGGAAATGTACATTCCCTTAGAGAGTTCCAGCTGGGTGAAAAGGTCATTAACGGGGATCATTAAACATTATTTTGAGTTAGAATCAGTCCAGAAAGCTCTAGTGCTTGCAGGCTTTGAAGTTCAGATTGCCAGTTGGGGTTATGTCTGGAATTCATGTGTTCTGACTTTCAAGTCGAATAAAGAAATGAGGGAGGCATGGCTGATGAAAAAAGATGAGCTATATTTTTGGTTTGATAGATTGGAACCCTTACTAAATAAGGATGGTATTCCAATGGCTTTCTGTCTAGTAGAGCTATTCGGGGTTCTTTTTTCATGTTGGCAAATCTCCTTCTTGGAACGTTTAGCAGGGAATTGGGGATTGGTGGAAGACATCCATGAAGATTCAAAGAATATAGCAGATCTCTCGAAGGTGAAGATTCTGATTAGGGTGGCTAGCCCTTTTGATGTCCCAGATGTGATATCTATTGGTTCTTATGGAAGATCTTCTAAAGTTAAGATTAAGTTGGGTTCGATGTTTGATTATTCCTCAGTGTTTCCTTACAAGTCGCTAGCAGGAAGTTCCGATGTAAGTCCAATTGGTGAGAAGTTCTCTGAACAGGAAGACGACAAGTGTATGTCAGGTAGTAAGAAGTAGGGTCAATGGTGGGCACATGGCTTCAGCAAACACAAGATAATGGGCGGAATGAAGGTGGTGAGGAATATTCTGGGGAAAAGTCCTTCACGAAACACAACATGAATGGGTTGTCAGTTAAGTTGGAATCTGAGGTCTTGGGCTGTGAGAGGGAGTGGCTCAGACTCCTTTAGCCCAATATGTTTCAAATTGGGAATCCTGTTCCCCTGTTTCTAATTTTAGTCTTGGGCCTACTGTTAAAATTATGTGGGATGGGCAAGATAACTCTAATAAGTTCCAGACTCCTTTAGAGTCTAATGAGGAGGAAAGAGGCTTATTAGCAGAAAAGGAAATTGAGGGCGTCCAGGAAGTTGATGGTTATGGTACAGGTAAGGAGGTTAATGGTAAGTTGCTACAGAAGGAGAATGGAATTTGCAAGCAGAGTAATAATCACTGGAAATTGGGATTTCCGGTTTCAGCTGGTTTATCAATTAAAAGTATTGATGGAAAGAGGAGCAGAGGTCGCTTTACAAGAGTCTACAGAAGATCAAGAGGTAGAAGAATTTGGTTAAGATCGAGGAAGGAGGATAATAAAATTTTCTCTCAGGTTATTCTGAATAAAGAACAAAATTTTTCTGAAGGCACTATTAGCTGGTTTCTTCAGAAAACAGGGGAACTAAACAGGATGTCGATGTCATTTGTTCTGTTAATGATCAGAATACATCTTTGGTTCCTTTTTTTTGTAATAATCATTCTGAGGACTGGTTAATATTTATACTGTCTTTTCTCCTTTCTGCTTCAGAGATATGTAGGAATTACAGAAGGGAAATGAGAGTTTTAACCAGGGAAGCTGTGGACCTGGTTAATATTTATACTGTCTTTTCTCCTCAGTTTTCGAAATTGGTGGAGGAAGCAATGGCAACTTGGGAAGTTTGTCAGTTGCTAGGTATTTCTTTCAAGGAGGGGAAGAAGACTTTCATTGAAAAAATTATAAGTCTTGAGTATGGCTCGGAGGTAGTTAGGGAAGGTTGATTTCTCAGGGAAGATTAAGGGGATTATTTTTGTTTTTCTATGATGAAGTTAAAGCTATCTATTATGACATGGAATGTTAGAGGATTGGGTAGAAAAGAGAAGCAAAGGGCTGTGCAGAGATTAGTGTCTAATCATTGCCCTCATTTTCTGTGGTTGCAGGAAACTAAATCGGATAATATTCACAAATCTTTTATTAGGTGTGGTTTAAACAACTTGCAAGGGTTTATTAAGTCCCCTTCAGTTGGTGCTTCAGGGGGTTTACTAAGTTGCTAGAATGACAATATTTTTGAGTTGGAAAATCAGTTTATTTCCAGTAGATTCATTGCTATTACTGGGAGGTTTCGTGCCAATAATTTCAGATGTAGATTCATTAATGTCTATGGTCCTTATGTTGAGGAGGAGAAAGGAGGCTTCTTTAAAGAGTTAGGCATGTTTATTGGAGGCCACAGTGATCCTATTTGTGTTGGAGGGGACCTAAATGTTTATCTTCATGAGGACGAGAAGATGGGTAGAGCTCAAAATAGGAATTCAGTAGAGATTTTCAGTCAATTTCTGATCATCACAGGTTTAATTGATCTGCCATTGAGTGGAGGTCGGTTTACTTGGTGTATAACCAAGATTCCCCAACCTATGTTAGACTGGACAGATTTTTTGTTGATAGTCAATTCTTGGCTGCTTTTCCAATTTAATTCAATCTCTACTGCCCAGGTCTGTGTCTGACCATAATGCAGTAATTATTGAAAATGGTAGGGTTAATTGGGGAAAGAAACTTTTCAAACATTTTAATTATCTGATGGATGAAGCTGGTTTCGAGGATTTGGTCAGCTTCTCAATTCGAGATTGTAAGAAAAATCAGAGGAATGCTGGAATTTTCAACATTCTGAAAAATACCAAAATTGCAATAAAAATTTGGGCAGGGAGGAGAGACAAGTTTCCAGGGGATTTGATTTCAGATCTTGAATTGAAGATTCAAAAGCTAGAAGCGGATGTTCATCATGGACTTATTGGTTACAATAATGAGATAGCACGAGTTGAAGGTGTTAAGATCAGAATTGTGGAGGCTGTATAGATAGAGGAGCAGATTTGGTTCCAGAAATCAAGATCGAAGTGGGTAGAAGATGGTGACAGAAACACGAGATATTTTCACACATGTGCTTCAGTTAGGAGGAAAAGAAATGCCTTGAGTGCTCTACTTGTCAATGGAACTTTGTTCATGACCCGATTGTTATTAAGTCAACAGTCAGAGATCACTTTTTCAAGGCTTTCAATGATCAGTTTACCCTACAAGTGGAAGACATGGGGTTGGATTTTTCCAATATTTCACTCGAGCAGAGTTTGAGATTAGAGAAAGAATTCACTGAGGAGGAAATTTGGGAGTCTTTAGAGTCCTATAATGGGAATAAAGCTCCTGGGCCATCCGGTATAAATATGGGATTCTTTAAAAGATTTTGGAATGTGCTTAAGGGAGATGTCATGAAGTTCTTCAATAACTTCTATTTGGGGAAAGAGTGGGAACATGGTATTAATCATACCTTTATTACACTTATCCCTAAGGTATCTAATAGCGCTGACCTTGATGACTTTAGACCTATTAGCTTAGTTGGTGGATTATATAAGATCCTCTATAAGTGTCTTTCGAGGAGGTTGAGGAGCTGTATTTCAGAATTAATCAGTCCTACACAATTCGCTTTTATACCAGGTCGACAAATATTAGATTGCTCTTTAATTGCCAATGAAGGAATAGACTTTTTGAGGAAAAATGAACTCAAAGGTTGTGTTTTCAAAGCTAATTTCAAGAAAGCTTATGATTCGGTGGATTGGAAATTTGTTTTTAGTTATGGAGAAAATAGGTTTCGGTTCCAAGCTGGATCAGAAAATGTGTTACCACGGCTTCTGTTTCTGTTCTTGTTAATGGAGTCCCTACTGAGGAAATTCCTATGGCAAAGGGACTTAGACAGGGATGTCCTTTATCCCCTTTGTTTAATTTTATTGGTGAACTCCTTAATTTACTGATTTTAAAGGCTGTTTCACAGGGGTTGTTTTCTGGACTGGTTATTGGGAGGGATGAGGGGTCTTTTAATCTCTCTCACTTACAGTTTGCGGATGATCTCATTATCTTTAGTGGTGCTTCGAAAATGCAAATTCTAAACGTGAAAAGGGTGCTTAGAGTGTTCCAAGTTATTTCGGGTTTACATCTAAATATGAAGAAATGCAAGCTGTTTGCTGTGAATTTCAATGATAAGGAAGTGCATGAGTGGGCTAACACTATTGCTTGTTCAGTTGGTAGCTTTCCTTCTGAATATCTAGGACTTCCTTTGGGGGCTTCTAGGAATTCTGCTGCTATTTGGAATACAGTGATTAGTAATATTTCCAAAAAATTAACAGGATGGAAGGTTGCCTCTCTTTCTTTAGCAGGGAGACTGGTCTTGATTAAGTCGATTCTATGTTCGCTCCCTATTTATTATTTATCTCTATTTAAGATACCAGCATCGGTTCTTAAAACCCTCAATTCAATGATGTCAAATTTCTATGGGGAGGGGAAGTTGATAAAAGTAAGATCCACTGGGTTAGCTGGCCGAATGTATGCAAATCAAAGATGGAGGGGGGTTTGGGTTTGTTGAACCTAAACTTGATGAATAGAGCACTTCTAGAAAAATGATCTTGGAGGTATGCAAACGAAACGGGGTCTGTTTGGAGGGATTTTATTTGTTCTAAATATAATTTGGATCCTTCTTTGTTATTGTTTGACAGTAAGACTCCAAATAAAGTTTCTTGGATTTGGAGATCAGTGGTTAATAACCACTTTAAAGATGACCCTATTGGCTCTAAGTTGAGAAGTATGTGTTATGTTTTAGTTGGAGATGGCAAATTTATTCGGTTCTGGCAGGACATTTGGGCTTTGGATTATCCTTTTCTGCTTATTTTCCCTAGACTGTTTTCATTTCCATCAACAAGACAGGCAAATTATTTGAGTTTGGGGAGTATAGATCTTCCGGCTGGATTTGAGACGTGTAGTTTCGTAGGAACTTAAATGACTGGGAGATAGAGCAGTGGGCTAATTTGATGGTTGTCATCTCGACTTTTGCTCTATCTATGGATAGTTCGGATAGGATGATTTGGAAAGGGTCTGGGGATGGGGTGTTCACTGTTAAATCTGTTGTTAATCTCTGTTCATCCGGTTCTTTAGGTTCGGAGGAGGCCTACTTTTGGAATAAGATTGTTTGGAGGGGTCAGCTGCCACCAAAAGTAGAGTCCTTTATGTGGCAGGTTGTTCTAGGGAGGTTGGCTATTAAAACAGAACTGGTGAAAAGAGGAATTTCAGGAATTCATAACCTGTTATGCCCTCTTTGCATGATGGAGGAAGAGTCTCCTTCGCATTTGTTTTTCTCTTGTTCGGTGGTGTGGTCTGTTTGGAACAAATTCCTCAACTTTTGGAAGATTAAAACAGTTTTCCATTCTAATGCGAAAAGTTTTCTCCTGGCTTGGGATGCGTTGAGGACTGATTCTCCGATTTGGTCTCTCATTCCAGGGGTTGTTATTTGGACTACTTGGAAATTGAGGAACTTAATTGTATTTGAATGAGGGAAGTTGGATGAGGTTGAATTTTTCTTCTTAGCAAGGTTTAGGCTTGCTTCCTGGTTCCTAGCAAATAATAAAGGGGTGTATATTCTTAAAGACTCTTATTTCAGACTCCTCTTTAGGGGACTCTTGTTCCATCCATTCTAATCTGATTATGTCTACGCTTCCTTGGCATCCTCCTCCTATGGGTTTTGTGAAAATTAATGTTGATGCAACTACGACTAAGGATTGGAAAAAAGCGGTTTAGGAGGAGTTTTAAAAGATTCCTCTGGATCTACCTTAGGTTCTTTTAAGGAGCCTGCTCGTCCGGGGCCTCCGACCTTTATGGAGTTGAAAGCTATTCAAAAGGGGCTACTATTCTATGCTGATTTTCGAGAAAGGCTACAGGACCGGTTGATTATCGAAAGTGACAGCAAAATGGCAGTGGATTGGGTTAAGGGGTTGATTTCTGTCCTGATGTTTATGCTTCTTTGGTTAGAGACATTGTTCACAGGTTTAATATGTTCGAAGGTGTGGTTAGATGGGTAAATAGGACAGCCAATCTTGAGGATGATGCCTTAGCTAAAGAAGGAATCGGTTGATTTAATGTTGATGTATATGGGTCGCAAGGTTGTTTTGTGTTTACCTGCCTATGTTTAGTGCATTTATAGGGATGTATCTTATGTATATTATTGTTATATTCAATAAAATCCTAAGGCACTCTTTTCCTCCTTCCGCTGATTAAGGAGCTTACCTACAAGCACCTTTAATCAAGAAGGAGATTTTAATGAGCCTGAAATTCTTATAAAAAAAATTAAAATTTTTAATATATCATTTTTTAAGTTACTAACAAGCTTTTCGATTACTGTATCAAATAGCTCGCTTCGGCTCGTTAAGAACTCGAGTCGAACCCGTTCGAATCGAGTGTTGACTGAGCTTGAGTTGAACTCGAGTAGCTTGCGATCTAGCTCGTCTTATTGAGTCTTGCTTGTCATTGTCAATGCTAGACTCTTTAGGTTGGTGTTGCACTTGTCATTACAATGAAATATGATATTTAATGGATCTATCTGGCTCTAAGATGCGCTAGGCTATGTTAAATTTGTTTGTTACTATGAGTAGGAATCATTTGGTTGTTCCTGTTGACTGTTTATTTAGCTTGATTGGTGTTATTATCTAAATATACAGGTGTATATTTAATGGGAATGGGAAGATCTTGGAAGATTTGGTACTAGCTTCCAAAGAAGGTGTTTTTGTGAACGTGGATAGTGAGTTTGATCTGGAGAATATTGTTGCAGCTGCAAGAATTGCTGGCAGAAAGATTAATGTTTTGCTTCGGATCAACCCTGATGTGGATCCTCAGGTAATGTGGTATTTATACTATTAACTACATGGCCATTAAGGTGTGTGGTCTAGACATGTTTTTATAAAGAAGATAACTTTGGAAAACTCAATTGATCAAACTTGGTTTTAAGCTGACCTTAGACAATACATGTACACATAAAATAGTTCGAAACAACTTGCATTCTAGTGTAATTATTATATGGCGCATGAGGACCTAGTTCTGCCGCTATACATGGCTCTCTCATAGTACTACATATTGGTTTACTGAAGTGTGATCAACAGAAATTTCAACCCAATTTTTGGAAAACCAGCATGCGTACTTTAACCTCTATCATCTAATCCTTTGCATGATGATATTCTCTCCCTTAAACCACCTCATGGCTGCCTTTTTATCCCATTTTTCTCTTGCACCAGTTTTAGTGTACTCAAGAACCAGATTATTGTTCCTTAGCTTGAAATCCATCTGCCTACTGCACTCTACTCTCAGCTCTCAAGTTGATGATCCATGATGGGATGGCTATTAAATTTACTTAAGATGATTCCTTTTTGGTAATGCAACTTAAACCTAGCTTTGAGGATTACATTAATTCTAGGAGAGGACATTAAAGAATTAAGATAGACGTGATACCGGGAGCATGCTTTTCAACTGAATTTTAATTAGGTTATGACAATATGACTTTGCAATTAATCTGCAGGTTCATCCATATGTTGCTACCGGAAACAAGAACTCTAAATTTGGTATTAGGAATGAGAAGCTGCAGTGGTTTCTGGATGCTGTAAAGGCACACCCTAATGAACTGAAGCTTGTGGGGGCCCATTGTCATCTTGGTTCTACCATTACCAAGGTATCAACAACATTAAGTTTATTTTACTTACCTTTCTGCAAGTTAAATCTGGCAAGAGAGAAATTTGAGGGTAGGTTTCTGTGGTTAATACTTCTCGGATTACCAAGTTAACTGATGCTAGATCAACTGGTACTTGTTGATTGTTACAAAAGTTGTTTCTTGGATTCTCCTATCAGTTTGTCAACATTGTTTATTTTGTGTGTTACATTGTTGTTTGTCTGAATCTATTTCACGAATTACTCATCAAATTCTAATGAAACTCTCATGTATTGTTGTTCAGGTGGACATTTTCAGGGATGCTGCTGTTCTTATGGTCAATTACATTGATGAAATTCGTGCCCAAGGGTTTGAAGTTGATTATTTGAACATTGGAGGTGGTTTGGGGATAGATTACTACCATAGTGGTTCCGTCCTTCCCACACCTAGAGATCTCATTGACACTGTAAGGCTCAGACCTCTAAATCTTGCAAATTGTTGTCATAACATCTATGGCTGGCTTATTCATGCATGAATTTTTTTTTTTTGTCTAGCTGGTGGAAGAAATAGGAGTTCCGTAGCAGCCACTTAATGGTTTTTTAATACTTTAAAATAAACTGATCTGCGCATCTTGAGTTACAGTTCAAAATATAAAATGCTATGGTATTTACCATGTCCATGTTCCTTTTTCTATCATATATGAAGTACCGATATTGATATGCTAGGAGTGTTCATTTTGGCTAATATTATTTCTTTTTCTTTATTCGCTGGTTGTTGTAGGTCAGAGAATTGGTAATTTCAAGAAATCTTAATCTCATCATTGAACCAGGGAGATCACTCATTGCAAATACTTGCTGCTTAGTCAATCGTGTCACCGGAGTCAAAACTAATGGAACAAAAAATTTCATTGTTATTGATGGCAGTATGGCTGAACTTATCCGTCCTAGTCTTTATGATGCTTACCAAGTAAGTATCATTGGTTCCAATCATCAACCATCAAGTTTGAGCTTTGATGAACATGCAAATACAGTCAAAATTACCTAGCAGTTGATTTTAACGATGCCTCTGTCCTAGGTGCAGTCCATTGAACTCAGGACCAAATAGTTGAACTTTTCAAGATATGAATTACAACCCTAGTCGAGTTTTGTTGTGTTCTAAATCATAAATTTATATCCGTACTGTTTCAATAAACCCATTCATATATGATTGCAGCATATAGAGTTGGTTTCTCCTGCTCCTCCTGATGCAGAGGTTTCTACCTTCGATATTGTTGGCCCTGTTTGTGAATCTGCAGATTTCTTGGGAAAGGAGAGAGAACTTCCCACCCTAGCTAGGGTATCTAGTTTTATCCATATAATGGACTGATTGAAGTATCAATTATCTGGATTAATCAAGATTCTATTTTCGCAGGGGACTGGCCTGGTCGTGCACGATGCAGGTGCTTACTGCATGAGCATGGCATCAACTTATAATCTCAAGATGCGCCCACCTGAGTACTGGGTAACACAATTTAACCTTGTTTCTATTTATGGCAAGTTCATTTTCAAATCAGCAATTATCCTCATCAGCATGATCATTTCTTAGCATTGGTTCGTGTTAAATTGATTGTTAGACGAAAGTTTCTGCATATAGTTGTTGAATGATGATTTCCCTGAAAAAAAGAGAAGAAGATAAATTAGGGTTTCAAACTAATGGTTTCAGGTTGAAGAAGATGGATCAGTGACCAAGATACGGCACGGGGAAACATTTGAAGATCACATGAGGTTTTTTGAAGGTCTTTAGTTTGATCAAAGAATAGATGCTTGTTCGAGGCTTGAAATTGGATTAGAATGTATTATGTGCATGAGTTTTCATTCAATGAACTGTTGATTTTTAAATAAAGCCTATTCAGTGTTCCGACAATTAAAATGATTAATGTTGGTAGATCCTTCGTTTCCGTTCTTAGCTCTTCATCTTCTACTGCTTGGACTTGTTCCGGATGCAGTGCGGCAGCTGCATCATCTCGACTGTCGTTTAGCTTGGTTTCAAGCAACTGAATTGGACCCTCTAACGCCGCTTCAATCCCGTCTTCAATCAACAACTCATCCACTTCTGCAGGGGTCACCTTCGTTGTCGTCAGCAAATCCTTGATCTCCGTGAACCGTGGCTGCTCTGTTATCCCGAGGTAATTGGGAGCCAACGTTCTGAACCCAAATGGAGTTATCTAGGACATCTGGATCTGCACATCGATCCTCGATCCGATCGGGATTGTAGAAACGCTGGGTCAAGTCGGCCCTTGTGGATCGTTGTGAACTCTATTATCCTTTCATCCTCATAGCTCGACCATATCCCATCTATGCAGTTCAGCAATCCTGACGGACCTGATTCTAAAACAAACAACAATTTTTTTATTTTTTGAAACAAAGCATCGGCCACCTTTATTCAAAAACAGTTGGACCATGTCTAGGTGTAAAGCACCATCTTCACCCGGAAAAACGTGTAAAAAGCAATAAATAAACACAACCCCAAAAAAAACGAACTGGAAAAATCCAAAAAGTAAATGCTGGCCTTTCCTCTTCCCTTGCTCTTCTAACCAGGTGAACGCCATTGACAACACATGCAGCAGGGAAAACTAGACAAAAAAATAGCATAAACAACCCGAAAACAAACCCCTCGACGAATCGCCTCTATAGGGGTCCAAACATCTTCTGTCCATTGCTATCTGTCTCAAGACCTCCGTCGAAGCCTCTTCCACCCAATAACAATCATTCGGTCCCGAACCAGAATGGGCTGCCATGAGATGCACAGCAACGTTGCCAGACAGAGATGAAATTGACGTTACAGGTACGCAAAAACTTCATTCTCTGCTTTGCCTCCCATACCACTACACTAATAACCGAGTAATCAAGTTTTGACGAGATTAGCTTTTCCACCATCGATCTAGCATCTCCTTCGAAGACGACATCTCGGAAACCCAGTAACTGTCCTTCATGGTCCCTAATAACAACCCCTGACCAAGCTGCATGTTGTGCTTGCAAAAACTTGGCGTCAAAATTCACCTTGACCGAAGGAAAAGCTGGAGGTTTTCATCGCACCGAGGGCTGGTGAACATGGCTAGTGGTACGGGCATTGGCTTTAGCAAATTCCAAGTAGTGTGAATGAACAAAGGTAACAAATTTTCTTACCTCAATGTGTTTACCTTCATGATAATATTTGTTGCGAGCATATCATAATCCTCAAATGATAACTGATATTTCCACATGCCTCGAAGAATCATAATTTGAAAACAACCAAATCAACCATTCCACTAAATCGGCATTTGAAATCATCGAATTCCAATTGAAATTCATGTTTGACCAAACCAAACGGGCCAGGTGACAATCACGCACAATATGAATGCCCAATGCTATAGTGTTTGGACACTTCGCACAAAACGGGGTATTGGAGATGCGTTTTGTATGTAGATTTTGCATTGAGGGAATAAAACTTTGAGTGAACTTCTATACATGTATCCGAAATTTTCGATGATAAGCTCCGGCCCAAATGTGGCTCAACACAGTTTTTGTTGACTAGGAAATAACACCCTCCCCTAGCAACATCCGATACCCACTAGGGATGTAAAATCGGGTAATCGTTCAGGTTTCAGTCGGATCCTGTCAGGTCGAGTAAAATCGGATACAGGTCAAGTCAGATAAATTTGATGCTTCGACTCAGATCAGGTCGGGTCCAGGTCAAATCAGGTCGGGTTATTTTTAGGTTGATTTGACACCAGATACAGTTCGGGTTCAGGTCGGTTACTTTCAGTTCGGATCGATGTTAGTTCAGGTCAAAACAGTTCAGGTCCGGAGCAATAAATACCATGTTAATTCAGGTTCGGATGGACTTCATGCGGATCTCGTTTAGATCGGGTGACATCATTGGCAGATAAAATTCAGGTCGGATCTTTAGCAGATGCGGATTGAGTTCAAATCGGGTCAATTTTTATTTTTGGATTAATTATTTTCTTCTTTCGTGGACGTTGAATTGAAATTTGTAATTGTATATGATTTAGAGTAAATTACTAAGAATATAAATAATCATTGATTAATTTTATGAAAAATATAAAATTAAGGACTAAATTGAATAAATATGAAATTACAAGTAAAACTTTAAATAAATTAAACAACACGCATTTATGAGGGACCAAATTAAAATAATTTTAAAATGAGGTTGAAATTAATATAAAAAGTACTAAATTATACATATTTAAAAAGTTATGGGTCAATTAAAAAATATAAATAAGTAATAAGTATGGGTCAATTTCAGATAAAATATAATTTTAAAGACTAAATTGAATAAATATGAAACTAAAAATAAAAAAATTAAATAAATTAAACAATCACAAATTGATCAAATCAAAATAATTGTAAAATGTGAAGAAAATCTATAAAATAGACTAAATTGCATTCATTTCAAAAGTTGAATTTTTTTTTGAAACAATTATAATATATATATATATATATATATATATATACATATATATCACCTATATATATTATATATAAATTATAGTTTATATATAAAGTATATATATTATATATATAAACTATATAGTTTATATTTACATTATTATATACTATATATAAATTATATATATTATTTATAAACTATATAGTTTATTAATATAAATTATTATATAAATTATATAATATTTATAAAGTATATATATATATATATAAACTATATATATAAACTATATAGTTTATATTTATATTATTATATACTATATATAAACTATACACATATTATGTATAAACTATATATACTATGTATAAGCTATAGAGTTTATATATGAATTATTGATCTACCGATAAACTATATAGTTTATTAATATAAATTATATATGAATTATATTTAAATATATACATCTTATATATATATATTATGTATAATTATAAATTATATATACTATGTATAAATTATATAGTTTATATAGTTTAAATATAAAGTATATAAGTATATACATAAACTATATATATATATAAAGTATATATACATATATAATCATATAAAGTATAAGCATATAAAGTATATATATATAAAGTATAAGTATGTGTATGTATATATATATTATAAAGTATAATTATAAAGACTAAAGTATATAAGCACATAATATAAAGTATATAACTATATAATATAAAATACATAAGTATTAAATATAAAGTATATATAATAATAATATAAAGTATATAAGTATTAAATATAAAGTATAATTATAAAGAATAAAGTATATAAGTATATAATATAAAATATTTAAGTATATAAAAAATATATATACATATAAAGTTTATATATATATATCTATATATCTATATATATAGTTTATATTTATATTATTATTATATACTATATATAAAATATATATACATTATGTATAAACAATATGTACCATTTATAAACTATAGAGTTTAATATATGAACTATTGAACTATATATAAACTATATAGTTTATTAATATAATTTATATAGTTTATATGTAAATTATATATGAATTATATTTAAATATATACAGCATATATTTATATATTATGTATAATTATAAATTATATATTTTATTAATATAAACTATATATAACTATAAATTATATATACTATGTATAAATTATATAGTTTATATAGTTTAAATATAAAATATATAAGTATATATATAAACTATAAATTATATATATATATAATAATAATAATAATAATATAAAGTATAATTCTATTATATATATAGTATAATTATAAAGACTAAAGTATATAAGTATATAATATAAAATATATAAGTATATAAAGTATATAAACATATAAAGTATAAGTTTGTGTATATATATATATAACCTATAAAGTACATAAATAAATATATATATAGTTTTAGTATAAAGTATATATGCATATATAATAATAAAAAGAATAAGTATATTATATATATATATATATAAAGTATAATTATAAATACTAAAGTATATAAGCATATAAATATAAAGTATATAAGTATATAAGTATATAATATAAAGTATATATATATATACATACATATACTTATATACTTTATATTTAATACTTATATACTTATATTTAATACTTATATACTTTAGTCTTTATAATTATACTTTATATATATAAGTATATAATATAAAGTATATAATATATATAAAGTTTAGTATAAAGTATATATACTTTATAGTTTATATATATACTTATATTTTATATATATACACTTATATTTTATATATATATATATATATACACTTTATACTTTAAAGTATATATAGATTTTATATATACTTTATAGTTTACACTTTATATATATTTATACTTATACTTTTTTATATATGTAAATTTGAATAAGTGTATATATTTATATACTTATATGTATATACTTTTATATTAATATATATATATATACTTATAATGTATTAATGTATTAATCTATGCATAAGTATAATGTATATTATATATACAAGCATCATATTATCATAAAATTCATTATATATATATATATATATATATATATTATAATTGTTTTAATTTTCCCCAACTTTTGAAATTAATGAAATTCAGTCCATTTTATAATTTTTCCTCACATTTTACAATTTTTTTTAATTTGATCATTTTATGTTGTTTATTGTATTTAAATTTTAATTTGTAATTTTATATTTATTTAATTTAGTCCTTCAAATTATATTTGTATCTGAAATTGACCCATACTTATTTATATTTTTGTAATTTACTTAAAACCCTATAAAATATAAATCACATAATAAATTTCTTTTCAAATTATGTTCACCAACTTTATAAATGTATGCAATTTAGTTCATTTTTTATATTAATATCAATTTCACATT